CTAGTTTGAAAATTAAGATCTAAGATGAAGAAATGCTTCTTTCTTGTGACAGCTGATGGACATCTTCTGTCATTGGGAATTTGATGGTCTTTATAAAGAGTAGTTCTAGAAGTAGATGCTGGTGTAGAAAATACTCCTCATCACTGTGTTGCAGATTAAAGTTGCTTAGCAGATGAGGATGCTGGTTTTACATGTACAGCCAGGGTTAGAAGCCTTGTGGATGCTGTGATGATTATGTGTCTTTTTGCAGAAGTCCTTCAGTAATCTGAGAATTAAAATCAGGACTTTGCAAAACTTTTTGGGTGCAGTGTAATGATTCCAGCAAATTAAAAATAGATCAAGTAGATAGATGGTAGAGTGAAGGCAGAGTAGCGTGTTTGAGAGGCAGCAAAATGAGGGGGAAAATTCCTTTAGTACTTTCCATCTTCAGCACTGGCAAGAAGATGGAGTCAGAAGATCATCTGTCATGCACAGATTGAACGTGCTGGCTAGGAGACTTCTAATTCCTGTTGAAATTGGTAGACAAGTATCCCAGTGGTTTTGGAGGCTGTTTAAGTTTTAAGTATATAATTAAAATGTAATTAAAATCTCGTAGTGGTTTTTCTTACCCATACTGTTACTATTTTTCTTACCCATACTGTAAACCTATCCTGCTCACTGTTAAATGGTGAGCAGAATAGGCTGAGTGATGCTTCTTTAAAGAACAGAGAGAGAACTTGACTTGGTACAGTCAAAGTCTGTGGCAGATTTGGAGGATAAGACACAACAGCATCAGCTTCCTGCTGTTAGGAGAAGAGAAACAAGATACTAATTGTGAAATGTTTGTTGAATGTGAGATGAAGGGTGCAATGAGAATAGTATAGATAGCAAATGTGAATTGGAAAGTTAAGGCAATGGGAAAAAAAGAAATCGAAAGAGGGGGAGGGAGAGAACTGTTGAAGAAATTGGTTTGAAAATGTATCTGTAGATCATTAGCTATTTAGGTGGAATAGGCAGGCCAAAGTTTTGTAACTTACTCATTTATACTAAGTTATTTAATTTTCTCCCTCACTTTTTGTGTCTATTTTAACTAAGGTAAAGGGTTCAGTATTGCTAATACTACACTATTTACTTTAATAGTATGCAGAACATGGTAATTGTATTTCTAAAAAATAAGGGAATTTCCTTTTTCCACATCTAACTGTAGATGTGGCCAAAATTGAGTAATTTTGTCATGGTTAGAAAATAGAGTTGTTTCTTCAGATGGGAGTTTAGTTTTTGAGGGCTGACTGGTCAGCAGGGTTTTTCCTATTCAGCCTTGAATGTTGATCTCTTTATGTGTTCAAAAAAATTGTCAGTATACAGTATGGCAATTTAGATAATACTTACAAAATAAAAATGATCAGAAACCTGCCCAAGACAGGCGAATCCCATTAGCACACTCAAAAACAGATGAGAAAATGAAGCAAGGGGTGTTCTGATGGAAACCATAGGGGAAAAGTTAAAATCAGAGGGTGTATGGAGGACGTTGTCCTACAGAACATTTGAAGGTGAGAGCAAGAAGTATGAATGTGATTCAGAAGGCAATAGAGCTTCCTTTGAAGTTGGGAAAATTTGCCAGACTTTGTACAAGGTCTGTTTAAATAAAGACTGTCTGCAAGACTGGATGTAATATTTGGTTATTAAATAAAAGGGCATCTGCTCTCATAAAAGCCACCCTGTTTTGTTCGTGTATGTTATTGGCTATTTTCCTACTTTGTACAGGCTTTCTATAGAATAAGCTCATGGCAGCCTGACAAATGGAGCATTTATTGTGGCTAAAAGTACTGTAAACAAAACCAAAATAGCAAGTTTTATTGGCTTTTATAATACATTACCATTTTTTAAATTGGCAGCGGTATAGTGGAATTTAGTATTTTAGGACCCAAATGTTGTTATCTGAAAACAGTGGACTTCATTTTCCAATTCTTTTTTCTATTATATACAGTGCTGTTTTTTCTATTTGTTGCTCACGCCCATGTGTTGTAGAAACAGATTCTAATAAGAAACATTTACGGACTGAGCTGCTCGTTCACGTGTAGCTCCACACAAATGCGTTGCCTGCATTTGTTCTCATCTGTTGTGTTTTTCTTTTTTTTAAAGTAATTATTTGCCTTTGAATTTGAAGAAAATCATGATTTGAGTCTGCTTCTCATATTGTCTTGTTATGAGCTGAAGCATATGGAACCTTCATTATAACTAAAACAAGATAAACTCTCCAAGGTAACAAAGAAACCTCCTTGAAATGCCTATGAAAATTAAATATCTGTCTTTTATACAAAGATTTGATCCAACAGTCATTATTCAAATAGAAATTCCAGTGAAGTTCAGAGGAATTTTGCTGGAGTAAAGAGTTCATGACTAAATTCTCTTGGAATCAGCAGTCGTGTTGAACCTGGTCCCAGCAGGTGTGAGGCCCAGTCCCTTGTGCCATTCTGTTATCTCCCCAGGGTAAGGAGACTTTCTTTGTGTTCCCAGCCAAACTTATTTTTAATGTCAAGTTCTTCAAGATCTACCTTGCAAACAAATGTGCAGGCTGCAGAAGCAATGTAGGGATTGCATGCTGGAGTTCTCTCCTTCAGAGCTGGTGAGTGTCAGAATAGTGTGTGGAGGTTTGCTGTTAGCAGGTGAGTGCTGGCAGCGAGTGACACAGGGTGGTTGTCAATCCACTGCAAGAATGTCAGTGATTCACTTAAGTTTTAAAAGAAAAGGCTTTCTCTCACACAGCAAAAGCTTAAAAATTTATGTCTTGATACTGTTCTGAAACAAGTTAGCAAGTGTCATACATCAGTTTAAAGTTTTGGTAATTCCTAAGTAGAAACATGTGACAGTTCAGCAATCTTATCAGAGGTGCAGTATTAGTGTTTGAGATCTGTGAGGGGAGGAAAAGAGGGAGAAGGGGAATATGTTTTCTTGCAGTGTATGCTGAGCCATTAGATCTGTCAAAAAGTGAGGTCCTCTCTGCCTATTAAGCCTCTTAAAGCACTCATAAGCCTTATTTATATTTATGTTTGTTTCATGTCAGCCTAAGGAATCATGGGGAGGACTTTCTCACTTTCAGGGTGTTTTTTTAATTCTGTTTTGCTTTTTCTTCAGCACAGTCAAGATCTGTCTGAGCCAGAGCTTGCTCGTTGTGGCTGTGTATTGCTTTTATTTTTTAAAAAATAATATACAAACATATTTTCTTTTAAAGAAGAGTTTTAATGAAAGTAGGCTACCTTGTCATCCAGTGTCTGTGATATTATAGATCACAAAGAAGATTTACTCTTGGTTCTGTTGTGTTTTCTGTAACGACTCTATAGATGACTTAAAGTGTTTCTGGAATCAGTTACCAAGAAGTGAAACATTATTAACTAAAAGGAAAAACGATCCATCTTCTTCAGACACAACACATATTTCAGGTTTTGCATTTAATTTAAAATACATAAAAGAAGTTACCTCACAGCGGAAGAAAAACTTTCTTCCTAAATGTTTAATTGTCTTCCTACCAGGAAGCTTGAACTTCTGGATCTACTGCTCTGGATTCATGTTGTCCAGTGCCAAGACAGAGGAGGTCTGATATTTCTTAATTACTCTGCTTTGGTACGGGATAAAAAACCTTTTGGACATCACCAAGCTGAAAAAAAAAGTCAGGATACTCTTTATGCTTTTGTTATTTCTTTGGTGGGTCACTTTTGGAAGTACTTTCTCAACTCAAAAAATAGTATCTCTGCCTGAAAATTTTATTTCAGCTGTCATCTTTAAAAATATTTCTAAATCTGAAAGGAAGTGGGAGGGTTATTTTTCTCTTTTCCTGACCTTGTTTTCTATATTTGACACTGTTGAATAACGTATGTATAACTGCAGAATTAATTTTCTATCTGTGCTAATAGGCAATTTCATTAGTCTCCAGTTCAAAAGTTACTCCCTCATGATGAAGTCCTGTTGTGTTAGTATGTGTGCACACTCTTCTTCTGACAGAGAGTTTAAGAACACTTCTTTGAAGCTTGCAGGTCTGAGATACACCCTGGTGTCCTTTTCTAAATAGGAAAAGGCTGTTAATGATGGGTATGGAGAAGGGATTGCTGGTAATTCCTTTAGGTGAAGCTGTGGAAGGAAGATTGAGTCTTAATTCTACAGATGCTTCCATGGGGCATTGGAGCACAGTAGGGAAGGAACAAGACACTTGGATAATCATAAAGCCTTTGTTGGACCTGGCAAAGAGAAGCACACTTGGCTTTTTGAAACAGCTGATCACATCTTTGATGTCTTTTCAAGGAGAGGGGGTTTATGTCATGCTTCCACAGCCTATGGAAGTGTTTCTGAAGTTAATCCTACTGGTGAGCTGCAAAAGAAGGGGTGATGTTAGGTACCCCTGCGTGCTCCCTGCTCTGCCGCCGGCACTCCTGGTGTTACCCTCAGCGTTGGGAGGGGTTGCAGCTGCAGGGCTGAAGTGGTAGTTAACTATTCAGGGGTCTCAGATATTTATTTCTTTGGTTCATTTTTGAAAAATGTTTGCTAGCATATAAACCTGAGCAAAATCAATGGAGAAAAGGTTGCTAGATTAAATGTTTGCCTTGTAGTTTATGTTCAGGTACTACACATAGCTGCTAAAGGTCATTTCAAAAATATCAAGTGTCCTTTTAAATAGCAAAATAAAATGTTTTTGTATTTGCAATTAACATTAGATACAAATTCTCTGCTGTAAGCAAATGTGAGCCCATTAGCTTTGATGGAGTTTGGTAAGCTTCCACAGAGTTGGTTTTTGGTTCCCAAAACAGATGAACACTGCAAGAGCTTTCTGGTTGCATAGTTATTAAGGGTTCTTTTCAAAACCAGACATAGACAAAAGAGTTTTCCAGTACAGAAATGGTTTAGCTTTTGGTATGGAATTTGTTTTTCATTTTTTAAATTATAGCAGCCAAATACGTTAACCAACTAACCAGAGTTTAATGCCTAGACTCCAGAAAACACAACTTAACTTGCTGTTTTTCTCCTTTAAGGTGGTTTCACCTAGAGTCCAGACAAGGGAAGAGAACTAAAGACAGAGGAGAAATAAAGGTCAATATTCAGTTTATGAGGAATAACATGACAGCAAGTATGTTTGATTTGTCAATGAAGGACAAAACCAAATCTCCTTTTGCTAAGCTAAAAGACAAAATGAAGGGTCGAAAACCTGACGGGACGTTTTTGGATACTTCCTCTGCAATCATCCCAAGTACTCACATACCCGATGCAAATGTAGAGATATGTAGTGGTGAAGTGCAAGTGAAATCAAAACCAAAAAAACCCTTCCTTTTGGGACCTCAGCGGCTATCCTCAGCTCATTCGATGTCAGACTTAACGGGATCACATGTCTCCTCAGAAAAAATGAAATCCAGCACAGTTGGCCACCCTCATCTTTTCAGGCGTCAGCTGGAATCCTTTGGTTCCGTTGATGAAGGTGGTAAGTAAAACTCATAACCATTATAATTAGAGATCACTGCTTTTAGAGCATTCAAAAATCTGTTTCTTTAGTCTATGAAGCAATTACAAGGCCAAAACTTTAAGAATTATTGCTGCCTATTTTTTTTCCACTTCCATTAGTTGTTTGTAACTTAAAGTTGCTGTTTCTGAGCATAAGAAATAACTTGCAGTGGTCATACTGTATGTTACTTTAGAATTTTCCTTCTTATGTCATCATTTGAGAGTATGCTGTAATGAAGCATTGCATTCTAGAGGGGAATCTTGGCAAAATAGTGTCATGTGAAAAACAGAAGTCTGTTTAAAAAGCTGAAAATGATCACCAAAGTTTTAAACCTGATTTATCCAAAGAACCGACAGCACTTGGCATTGTTCAAAGTTATTACCCAGCAACAGATTACTGTCACTTTCTGGAATAGCCCACTAGTCATAGCTGTCTTCTTTGTAGAACTTAGTTTTCACACAGGAAACAAAAATTTTCCATAGTGTCTATTCATAAACATTTCTGAACCACAAAGTCAAGGCCACAGCTCTTCTTTTTTTTTTTTTTTTTTAAATAGCAGTGTTTTGAACTGAAGGTTTGACTGCAAAACTTCTAGACCTAAGCTAAAATGGGTTCTCTGCATGTTGTAAACTATGATAGAGTGTCTTGTTGATACTGTGCTAATGACAGATTGTTTGCAGGAAGTCTGAAATCTCCACACAGGAGGACATTGAGTGTTGATACTTCTAAAACGAACCAGCTTGACAACACAGTTGATGAAACTGGACTTGAAGCACAAAATGACCCATTTACCAATGTGAGTGCTTCGTTACCCCAAAAATTTGCTACACTGCCAAGACAGAAGAATCCATTTGAAGAAAGCCCAGCACCATGGGATCAAAACATAAGTCTGTTTTCCAAACCTGTTGAAATCAGGAAAGAAATTAAAAAAGAGAAAAAGGAGAAAGTTAGTCTTCTTGAAAGAGTGACTGGAAAGAAAGACAGCAAGAGGTCAGATAAACTTAGCAATGGGGGGTCAGACAGTTCTGCTGACTTGAGATCACCTGGTGTGTTTGGTGAAACTCATCAGGAGAGTTTTGATTACGATTCAACTAATCCATTTCTGACAAACTTCAAGCCTACAAGCATGTTGCCATCTTCAAGGTAGGTTTTTGCTGTATTTTGATCTGATATCTTGAACATGTTATGTAAATGAAAATGTGATGTCTTGAGGAGAACACAATCTTTGTGCTTTATAGACGTTTATATCATGCTTATCTGTTTCTAAGTAAAGGTTATGAGTTTTTTATATAGTTGGATCTTTTCTTCATTTTGAAGATACATTTATATTACTGACATGTACTGTTAATGTTCTTGGGTACTTGTGTTTGTGGAAGACTTAGTTCATGCTTCAGAATGGGTTCTTCCTGAAAGCCTTCTGCTTCCACCAACCACTCATTGCTTATTAACACACTGTTCCAAGTCAAGGTTTTAGAAGGAAGGGTTTCAGGCCCAGTGGAAAGATGAAATGGAATAAATAAAAGGATGAAGAAAATGTGAGTAGTGGAAACAAATCCTGTGGATGTCACCATTTGGGGACATTTTGGCTTTTGTTTGCTGGTGAGGAAAATATATTCTTTCCATAGAGAGAGAAATGCACACACAGAGTACATATACTGTTCCCAGTAGATAAATATTTAAACAGTTAATTATTTAACTTCTGTTAATTTACATTCTTTTTTTTTTTCCTGTGTATTATTTCCAGAAATTATCAGTCCTTTTTTTTTTTTTTTTTCCCCCAAGGTAATGATTAATTTTTGTTTAATGACTTAAATTTGGTAGAATTTAAATGTGAAATTAAAATGCTCCAAACTGGAATTTTAAGGTGGTGAAATAAGTCACTGTTTTAAATGGAAAACATGGTTCTAAGAAATTTACCTTTGCCCTATCTATTAATTCCTTAACTAATGACATAGTAGTATTTAAAAAAAAAAAAAAAAAAGGTAGTTTTTTTCTTGTTATTTTTAGAACACATTAATCTTATTGTATGCCAGCTGTTTTATTCATGTGAGAATGCATGCAGTCCTGATTTAAACTTATAATCATTTTCTCAACAAAACTAATCTTGGATGTGAATTAGATAAATGAACTGCAATAGAACTGCTGCAGAAAAATTTCAGTTGCTAGAAGCTCCTACAGTCTTCAGTGAATTATCTTCTTGGTGTCTTCTACGAGTCAAGTCAGTTCCTAGTGTCTTAAATAACATGTTTACAGAGTCTTACAATATTATTTTAATAAAGGTTTTCTCTAGATTAGAGTAAGGTTAGGCTGTAGCTTAGTTTGTCAGAAGTTAAAACTTCCATTTCAGTAAGCTCCTTTAAAGAGAAGTAATTTAAATAACAATGAAAATTACATAGCATTTAATTTTTTTTTAAATGAACAAAATACATTCAGACAGATGCTAGATGTAAGTAGTGAAATCTTTTGAAGTTCTTGAATGCAGCAGATCTTGATAAATAAGAATCTTTAACAGTAATCATGATAGACTTTTTTTTTTCTTTATTTTGTAATTAAAAAAGCTCATCACAGTGCCCATTCAGAGGGACTCTAGTAATTTGTTTCTCAGTCTTTGTGTGAGTCTCTTTTACTAGTTCTTGACTTTTATGTAAACAAACTTTTGATAAGACAAATAGATACTTTGTTATTTTCAAAAAGCCAAAATAGTAAACATTTTGACTTTTACTCCATAATAGCTGTCTTATAGAAATACCTAGCATGCAATAATTTGAGTTAGAAGCTCTTGACTTTTATATGCTTCAGTATTATGTTCTGTGAGAATCTTTTAGAATAAGTTCACTTTCTTTCAAATGTATGTTGTGCAATCATTTTCTTTTGAAGTAGAAACTAATACAAACTGTGCATATTTAATAAGTTTACAGTTTCAGTTTACCTTTTATCTGTGGAGGATTTGTTGAATAGGATCCATTTTTAATTTTTCAAACTGGTAATGCTGCAAAGAAAGAATTGTATAAATCTGTGGGCACAAAATAAATGAGCTTGAGTAACAGATTCAGTATGCAGAAAGCACACACAGGGAATTTAGACTTTGAGTTGCTTTTTGTTTACTCAACATGCTATTAAGCTCCTTTGGGTGGACAGCATTCCTGAGGCTGTATCTTTTTATTAAGGTGTGTGCAAAGTCAGTGTTCTGGTGTGGATGAGGAGTTCACTCTGCAGGTGGATCTCCCAGCTAAGCCCACTTGGCTTAGTCTTTGTTTGAGTGGATGGAACAATCCTGGGGCGTGTGAACTGGGTTCCTGTCTGATGAAACTAAGCTGGAAGATGCATTCCAAGAGCACCAACAAAGGAGTGTTGAGTCTGTGGGTCCAGGATGAAGAAAAACCCACAGCAACCCCCTTCCTTCACTCCCAAAAAACCATGACCAAATCCAAGTCCTTCATGTGCAGCCTGTGGAGGTCAGGTTCCTGGCACCAATGAACCTGTGAAGTTAGTGGGAGTTTTTCAGTGACTTTCAGCTTTGAGTCAGGTTCAAGTCCATCCTAATCATTTGTCTTTGGTAATGATGGCTGATGGCTGGTGAGCTGCAGAACAGAGTTGCTGAATAGCCCTTCACTCAGGCAGTCGTGAGGTGCTCACTGGCTGTATGCACACTCTGCCACTTCCTACTCTTACTTACTAAAGAAAAGAATGAAGATAAACACATCTTCCACCTGTTTCTCAGCTGCTGATACAGAAAATGTAGAAGTGGTGCAGCAGCAGCTAGAAGACTTTTTTTTTCTTAAAAGCAAGAAGTATCCTGGGATTATTTGAAAATTATTGTTTATTTTTATTGCTGTTATTTATTATTCTTATTTGAAGAAAGTTTAAGTATTTTGGACAAACAAAACCAAACCTGCCTGGTTGGTGTATAATACTAGGTGTCAGGAAATCACAAAATATGTGCCCCTAATTTCTGCTCTGGCAAAGGCTTGTTATGTGGCTTTGGCTAAATCACTTGGTCTCTCTGCTCCTGATCTGTAAAGTGGGGATGATATTTTGTTATGTCTTACAAATGCTGACTGGATAAATTAGTATTTTTTAAGGGTTTATAGATCTGGTATTACAGTATTACATAAGTGTTAAGATCGGGGGGGTTATTGTCTGGTGTAGATGTAATGTAGATATTTATGAGCTGATTTCTTGACATTTTAAAAATGCTGCAGTCTCACAGTGAAACAAGAAGCACTGTTTTAGCAAATACTACAAAACCTGTTAGTTCCAGAGGATTTATATCATACAGCCAGTGAAGAACTTGTGAGCACACAATATGTGTAGTATTTTCAGCCAGCCTTTACCAATAATAGCTTTGTCTTCGTACTTCCTAATCCACTGCTTTGAAACTTTTGCCTAATATTATGTCAAATTGCATTCATTCTTACAATTACTGCTAATGTCATGGCTCTCAAGAGGTTAATTTGCAGTCAGGAGCCACGTGGATTTTGTATTGAACACAGTTAAAGAAATTGAGGGTACTCCTGGAAAACAAAGATTGTTTTGTGCCATGACCAAACCTTGTGCATCAGTTCTCTGAAATTGTGTTTAGGAAAATACACTACAGTAGGCTAATAAACTGATGTGAAAATTTCTCAATTTACACCACTTGACAAGTGCTAAAAGAAAAGCATCTTTAATTTTAATGTGTTATTAGGACCTTTTTAGAGAGACTGTACAAGTTATTAACAAGGTCCTCTGAGACAGGAGACGGGTAATTAACAAGACCTAGAGAAAGAGAGTGTAGGTAATTAACAGGATCTTAGGCACTGGACACAGGGAAACAAATAGTCCAATATTTAAAGCTGACAGGTTGTTACTAGTCTGATCAATTCCAGATCTGGGAAACTGAATTGATAGGTGCTTGAGAGGTTTCTAAGAAATGTTATATTAATATACACACACACACACACGTACACAAACAATATAAGTGTTTGTGTGTAGGTACATGTATACATAGAGAGAGAGATGCATTAAAAAAACCTTTGGAAGTAACAACTTTCTGTGATCTAAGTGGTGTTAGAGGAAAAAAAATAAAGCTTGTGCCTACATATGGGTTACACTATCTCAGGTTCTGGCAATAAATGAATTACACTCTAAACAATGTGGAGAGATGGAAGGAATAGTAGAGGAGAAAGAAACATGTCTTACATGTTCACTGTAACAATTATGAATAGTGCTGATATGTATAATATAATATACTGGTCAGCTGGAGCGTAAAATACAAAAAAAAATATTCTTTCCTGTGTTCTTTTTCTGCTTCAGCCTTTTTTAAAAAATTCCAACGCAAAAAAATCCCCAGCCAAAAAAACCCAACCCACACCCTAAACAACCCAACTCTTACACTCATCTCTTTTGCATCTTTCTGCTTTGTCTGTCATTTCCAAATGTGGTTGTTCTGTTCAGCCTCTCTCCCTGCATGTTGTCACACGCAGCTGTCAGAGCTGCCAGCCTCCCCAGTGCTGCCTGCTCCAAACAGGTCGGCGGCTGCATTTCCACCTTTCCCACTGGATGCAGTGTTTGCAATAAGCAATGTCTCTGCATTTTGATATGTTCCTTGCTAGATTTGGAAAAAAAACCCCACGTGGGGTGCCATGAAAACATGAGGCTTTTGGTAACCGCAATGATGTGTTCAGATCACATTCGATTGTCTCATACAGTTCAAGAAATATTAAAATCATGTATGTGTGGCTGGTCAGCTACTTGGGGAAGCTTTTGCAAAATCATGGTGTTACTCTGACTTCCTAGGTTACTGCTGGTCAGTTGAGCTGTGCTACTAGGACAGGTGCCTGGCTCTAATCTAGTTTTAAAGTAAAACCTGCTACCTTATACTACAGTAAAGATAAGTTATTAATGCAATAAATTTATCCTCTTCAAACAGTTAAATTATTTCAATCTCATCTGTTACATACGATGTGCTACAGGCATATAGTTACTGGCCACAGCTCCATTGGAATGAACTCCAGAAGCTGCCTGATCAGAGCAAAGGGTTGTAAGGTCTGTGAATTTCTTTACCAAGTCAGTCATCCTGTTCCAGTGGTACTGACAACTTAATATTTTAATTTTTGTATGCCTGATTCAGAAACGTTGATCTCCTAACAAGTATCTTACTG